AATTTAAAATCTTCACTCTTAACTTGTACGGGAACTAACACTTTTCTCGTGTAAAAGAAAATGCAACAAATATGAAATTTTGTTTATAATCATTATACTTAAAAATACAACTAAAAATCCACAAACCTAATATTATTATTAATAATAAGGAAAGAATGAATACCAACCACAGTGAATAGTTTGGTTGAGGAAAAAAGACAGTGTTGTAAAAAAGAGAGTGAGGCATAACTAGAAGCAACAATCTTCGAAACTAAAAGCAAGTTATTAGTTAAGTCCCACAATGGTTTAAATACAAGTAAGTTTAGCCTTTATATAGCTCACACAAAAATTAACTAGTATCTATTTGTTGATTGGGAAGATATTGTATAGACTTAGAACTTGGACCCGTAAAATTTCTTTTAAAATATGTATTAATTAATTTTAAATAAATTTATTAAAAAAATTAATTAAAACTATTAATTATTAATTTACTATGTAAATAAATAATTAATAAATTATCTTATTCATCACAGCCACGTTATTAAAAATATTTTTTTTATCCTAATCATCATCGTCACGTCTATAAAAGTTGAGGGGGACAAAAAAAATCCCAACGGAAGTAAAGTTGGGTGAATAAAATGTTGAGTTTTGAAATAAGAGGGTCAAAAAATTAAACACACATAATAGGACTAAAAGTGAATTTAAGCCAAAAACGTATTAGGTTATTGTTTTAGGCCAACCAAAGACCCAAATGATTAAGGCGCAAATCAACTCAAATCCACTCCATTTTACCTAAGGTATAAAAGTCATGTCACACGAAAAGTAAAGTACACTTTCTGATCTCCATTTTTATTACACCCATCTTGAATTTTGAACTAACTCGGGCATTGAAGTGCTAACCTTACAGGTCCACCTTGCGCCACCGTATCAAAGATCAACACCACTGGTTCAGGATCCTTAATTCATCAATCACATCCAATTCTGTTTCCAAAATGAAACAATAGCATTGTCTGTGGGAAACGACTTATGATTCTTGAGTTTTCCAAGATTCATGTTCACTATCCAATTCACCATTTTGTAACCTTATCAGACCATTAAATCAAGAGCATTCAAAATTGAACAGGAAGATTCGTCATGTTCGATTCAGTCTAGAATCGTTTAAACTTCGGTTCCTTAAATTTCTGGATCTTTGATTCCCACGAAAAATCCACGAAGTGAAACAAAAAATGATCCAATATAATAGAGGTAATTACTTCCAATATAATATCCAAAGTTCATGAACAACTCTTAATCGCACATCGTTTCAACTATCCATCATCAACATGATCTTAACTGTAATGGCTTCTAGTGTAAATCTAGGATGAGCACGCCTTCTCCAGGAGGTGAAGTGACTTTTGTGCGATGAACGAAGATCGTATCACACCAAAATTACTAGATCATGACGGAGTAAACCAAATTCCAAACAAATAATTATTGACGACCAAAGCACTTATCATCACTAATGATATTGTGCACCATTGTGGTGTACAGTATTAGATATTTCGATTTTAGGGTGCCTAATTATCATCATTAATTCCTACAACACTCGTGTTTTTGGTGGCGACCGGTCGACTAAATCACCTTTCCTCCTAGCACACTGATATTGCACCAAAATTGGAAATCCAATTACTTACACTTAACCAATCGATTTATTTGTCAATCAATTTAACTAATACTTATATTTAAAAATCTATGTGTACTATAGTGGGAAAGTTTTCCAATTTCTCAAGTTATTAAAGAGTACCTCCCATACAAGCATGATTATCTACTTTAAGTTAGGAAAAATATCTCATGACATCAATAAAATATGGGTGGTGTTTTTTACCATATTTCATTTAAATGTGTAAGAAATATGTAATATTGTGTTAAAAATTTCTTTTCTCACACATATTTCATCTCCTTTTTTTATATTAAAGAATATGTATACAATAGTAATAATTAAAAAAATTAAAATATAATTTATAAATTATAATATTAAACATGTTAACAAAAGAGAAACGATTTTAAGGTTTTCATTAGAATGGCAAGTCTATAGAATAAGAATTACAATAGAGTATAAATACTATAAATTATAAAAAGACTAAATTACCCTTACTAATATATAATATTAAATAATAATATAATAGTACTAATATTACCTAATGTCTTCCCTCAAACTCATGATGCATTAACAGGAAACATTGATAGTTTGTCAATCAAGAAACAAAAACGTTCAATGTAATGTGTCTTTGCAAACAAATCAATAATCTGGAGAAGGAAGAGACGAACAATAAAGCAATTGTTCTATGCTAAAGATGGTGACAAATGAAGTGACAATCAATCTCAATGTGCTTGGTACGTTCATGAAATAATGAGTTGTGAGCAATTTGAATGACACTTTTGTTATCATAATACACGAGAGTTGGTTCAGAAAGAGTAACACCCATATCCAAAAGTAACTAATGCAACAAAACCATTTCAGTTGTGGTGGATGTCATATCATGATACACAACTTCGGTAGAAAAGAAGGATACAATATCTTGTTTCTTACTTTTTCAAGAAATAAGATAGTGTTCAAGAAAGATACAAAAATCTATACCAGACTTACGATTTATTGAGTCACCATCCCAATAAGTGTCATAATAATCACATAACTCTAATGAGAACGATGAGGGAAATAAAAGGCTCTGAAATTCGGTTCCTCGAAGATAACAAAGAATGCAAAGAACAACGACCCAATGTATTATAGTGGGAGAAATAACAAACAGACTAACAATAACATAAGCATTATCAGGTATGGTAATCTCAAGGTACACCAGACTGCCAACCAAAGTGTGATACAAAGTGAGATCTCGTAGAGTAACACCGTCAGAGAGATCATATTTCATATTTAATTCAAGATGAGTATTTACTTTTATAGTATCAAAAAATTGAGATTGCTCAAAGATTTTAGCAATATACTTAGATTGAGAAAGAAGGTAACCTTTAGGAGATTAGACAACTTCAATCCCCAAGAAGTAAGGAAGAGTACCTAAATCCTTCATCTCAAACTGTTTGGCTAGTTTTAATTTCAAATCATCAATCTCATTAACACCATTACCTATAATTATCATATGATTAACATATAATGAAAGTAAAATAAGACTATTAGTGGTGGTTTTGACAAATAAAGCTGAATCATGATCATTGGAGTGAAAACCAAGAGGTAGGTGTAATAATAGTGATAAAGTTCTCAAACCAAGCTTGTACAACTTGTTTTAAACCATATAAAGCCTTCTTCCATTTACACACTTCCCTATGATTATGAGAAAAACCTGGAGGAGGTAGCATATAGACTTCCTCGTAAAGATTATCATTTAGAAAAGAATTTTTAACATCCATTTGAGAAACATGTCATTGGCCAACTGATGCAATTGCAATAAGAGTGTGAATAATAGTCATCTTGGCCATTGGAGCAAAGGTATTTTCATAATCCATACTATACTGTTGAGAGAATCCCTTAGCAACAAGACGTTCTTTGTAGCTCTCAATTGACCCATCAGACTTAGTTTTGATTTTGTATACCCAACGATATTCAATAACACATTTTCTAGGATGAAAACTTACTAACTTATAAGTATTTGTCTTATGCACAACAAAAATTTCTTATGTCATAACCTGGCGCCAATGAGGGTCAAGGATAACATATTTATAGGAAGAAGACTCAGATAAACTGCAAAAAGATGTTAGAAAAGAAGAAAAAAGAAGCAAAGTAAGTGAAATAGAGATAATCGGGCAACCAAGTAGACTTATGATCACGAGACGAATAACGAGAAAGAGGAGAACGAGGATCAACAATCGTGGGAGGTTGTTAAGTAGCCATGGGGACAACAAGGATGTCAATAACATAATTAATAGTAGTATCCGACTTGCAACTCTCAAAATTACAATCATTAGAAATAATATTATAAAGACCAAAAGGATCAATACAAGTGAGTTATGAGCTACTAGTAGTATTATAATCAAATGAACAAGAAAAAAAAAAGAATGTGTTCAAGAAATACAACATATTAACAAATATAAAGTTTTCTTGATCGAGGATCATAACAACGATAGTCCTTTTAACCATCCCCATAGCCAAGAAAAACACATATGGTAGAGCGAGAAGATAACTTACTATGTTCTACTTGTGAACGAAGAACAAAGCAAGTAGAGCCAAAGACTTTTAAAAAAGAATAATTAGGAAAAAAAGTCATACAATTTTTTGAAAGGAGACAAACTTAACGTGACAGACGATATGATTCTATTAATAGCATGAACAATAATAAAAACTTCTTCACCCCAAAGCTCACTAAAAACATAAGCAGACAATAAACGAGAACATAAAATCTCAATAATGTGATAGTATTTTCCTTCAACAACTCCATTATGTCGAGGAATACCAATACAAGATAACTGATGAATAGTACATCATATGCACGCAATTCATAGAATTTACCAGAGATATATTCACCATCTAAATCACAACAGAAGCGCTTTTATAACAATACCATATTGCATTTTAACCATTATACAAAATATATGATAAATACCAAAAAAAAATTCAAAATGATTTTTTAATAAGATAAACCCAATAATAACGAATATAGTTATCAATAAACAAATCATGTATCTAAATTCTAGTAATATCTAATATCTGACTAGTTTTACAATAAAAATACATGTTCGATTTTTTATTTAAAATATGATATTAAAAAAAAAAAAGGAAGCTAGAGAGTGGAAGGAACATAGAGTAGCATAAGTGACAAGCGATGTGGTTCAAGTTAGACAACCTTTGTGGTAGTTTGACCCCACTGATCTTGTTTGACAGCTCACAAACAAGTGTATACGTAACAACATATGGGTCCCACTTACACAGATAGACACGCACTTTACTCTATCACTTTCTTTCTCCCTCCCTTCCTCCCGTTACTCTAATCTCATCCACCCCAATTCTCACTCTCACTCACTCCCTCACCACCACCATGGACCCAACCTCCTTCGATCTCCCTCCACCGCCACCCACCACCGTCCCCTTCTCCCTCGAACCCAACTTCACCTCCTCCGCCACTCACCCTCCTTACGCCGAGATGATATACAAAGCAATAGAGTCCCTCAAAGAGAAAGACGGTTCAAGCAAAAGAGCAATTGGAAAATTCATAGAACAAAACTACGGTAACGTTCTTCCTCAACAACACGCCACTCTCTTGACTCAACATCTCAACCACTTGAAATCTGCTGGTCTTCTCATCACCTTCAAAAAATCTTACAAACTACCTTCCTCACTCCCTCCACCTCCAACCGTCACTAGATCTGACTCCGAATCTCATCTCCCTTTCACTCCATTAACCCAAAAAGCCCGTGGCCGTCCCCCTAAGCCCAAGCCCGAACTTAATTCCCAACCCGAACTAACTGCCCAACCTGTTTTCGTTTCTCTAGACCCTCCTCAGGACGAGCCTCTACCTCCTCCTACAACTACCGTGGGCCCGACTCTAAACCCTACTGGAAGCCCGACGACTCTATCTGCGAAAAGAGGACGCGGACGTCCGCCTGGGACCTTCAGATCTAAGTCGCTGAAGAGTACCAGCCGTCCTCCTAAGCCCAAATCTGTGTCGAATGGGCTTAAACGACGACCGGGCCGTCCTCCGAAAGGTCAATCTCAGCCGACTGTTATTCCTTTTTCAGCTCCTGCTGCTGTTCCTTTTCCTTCTGTTGTGACAGATGGGGTTACAGTACCTGTTGTTAGATCTACCAGGCCCAGAGGCAGGCCCAAGAAGTATGCAGATGAGGTGATGTCAGGTGCTCCAACGATGAGGCAGGGTCGTCCTCCCAAGCTTGCTGTCATCGGTGGACCCAAGAATCCATTCCGAAGGCCCGTGGGCCGTCCAAAGGTGATCATTTTTTTATGTGTGTTTGACTTGATTTGACTTGCCTTATTTTTGCTACAGTTTGAGACTTGGAGTTGGACATTTATTTAAGTTTATACTTGATTAAATGCTTGATTATTTAGAGTAAAGATATTAAAAATTATCCAATTGACTTTGGAAATATTAATGTTAAAAATAAAGGGTTAAGAAATTAAGATAAACATTAAACAGATTGATAGGAATGTTCTAAAAATTGATAGGAATGTTCTAAAAATTAATTTGTTAAATTTTGTACTAATTATGCTAATAACGAGGGTAAAGAAGCACTGATTTTCATTATTTTGTATCAATAAGTAAGTAATCAATTTGTATCTCTTGATTAAGAACTTTGTCATCGATTGTGGTCATTTCCGATTTGAGGGATTTGTCACGCAGAGGATACCCAATTTATATGAAAAAAAAGTAATCCTTTGGTATCTAATTATAAGCATCATTTGAGGGGGAAAATGTCCATAAATAGCAAAAATTCACATTTTTAGGTGCATTTTTTTTTCTTTTAAATACTACCTCTGTTTTTATTTATGTCATTCTCACACATATTAAGAAATCTAATTATATTGTATGAAAAAAATAATTATGAAGCACATAACCCTAATTTGTCTTGGGATATGAAAATTAATTACTCAAATAAAATGCCCTAATTATGTAAATTGTTCTTATTGCATCATTTTACATGAAACAGGGAGCAAAAGGTGTAAAAAAGTATGCTAACGAAGATCTAAGAAAGAAACTTGAACACTTTGTAAGTTGAAACAATCTTCCATTTGATTCTTCATTATCTTTCAAATTCAAAAATATTATATTTCATGGCTTTATTGTTTGTTTACTTTACAGCAATCAAAGGTTAAGGAATCTCTTGAAGTGCTCAAACCTTATTTTGATCATCAAAGTCCAGACACTGCAGTTGCAGCAATTCAAGAATTGGAAAACCTGGCCACTCTGGACCTTAAAGCACCATTAAGAGATGAAACACAGCAGCAGCAACCAGAGCAGTTTCTGGAACAGCCACAGCCGCAACAACAGCTTCCACCTCAGCAACAGGTTCCGTTGCAGCAACTGCCGCCGCAGGTGCAGCAGATTTATGAACAGCAGTATCTCCAGATACCATTGCAGCAACAGATTCAGCAACTTTTTCAGCCACACAATTTAGCTCCAAGTTAAGAAGATTTACATGACCCTTATTCGGCGGAGAATCATATGTAGAAGTTGTGTTGTAAAGCTAGCTGTAGGAAGTAGAAAAGCAGTACTGGTTTTCTGAGAATCTAATGACTGTGTCGTCCATTTGAATTTGTTTTATGCTCCTTTAGATTAATTTACCTCTGGAATAATATTTAGAGACTAGAATACTGATGATTATGTTGCAGTTCAAGTAATATTAATTTAGATTGATGTTTTTATTTACTATTTTGTTCTTGCAATCAACTTGTAGTTTTTCTTAATCCTTCATGTGAAATTTAGAGAAGTTATTTTGATGTATCAAGAATGGGATGTTTCATAATAGTAGCTGAGATGGAAAACTGAAATGTATAAAAGAACCTATTGCATATTTTTTTACTCCTAGTTATTGAAAACAACTATGCAAGAAAGTGTCTTAAGTGCATATTTCAATCAGAAGGTTGTGAATAGTTATATGCAGAACCTAGCCATGCATCATTTATGAAAAGTGCAGATTGTCATAATGCAGTATTTTTAGGGTTTACTGCATATTATGATAAATATGGTATACTTTTATATGTTTTCGTCCCTACATTTTCTATAAATGCAGTATTTTTCTTAGGTAGCTTCTGTATTTTGCATAAAATGCGGTATCCAAATAATTTATGCACAATCTTAAAAGCATAGTTTCTATATTTTTCAGTTTATTCAACCATTTTTGCATTTGAATTTTATTTATTTTGGGTCCTTTTATTTATTTATTTATTTTTTTAAATATTCATAACAATTAAATAGAATTTTTATGTTCTCGTTAGTTGATTCTAATTTGATTTAGTTTTATTAGTTTTCATGTTTACACTAATAATATTCATTAAACAAGGATATTTTCGGTGTTTTATGTGAATAATCCTAAGTTAATGTATATATATTAAATGTCGTGAGAAAGTTGCAAGGGAGATTAGGGTGGTAAAATGAATGAATTAGATGAATATGTGTTGGATTGTTAATAGATGGATCAAAATAATTCACGAGTCCATTAACAATCTATTAAAAGTTTCTTAAAAATATCAAATTTTATTCATCCATTAAAATAAAATCCATACAATCCATCCATTAACATATTTTTAGTGGATTCATCCAAAAATTGATACCTTTACAAATTTTCTTTTTATTTTTGGAAAAAATTCAAAAATTTTTTATTTTCGAAAAAAAAATTGATTTTTTCTATTTTTCTATTTTTCAAAAAATCGATTTTTTTTCAAAAATAAATCATTTTTTTATTTCTAGAAAATAAAAGTCAATTTTTTTCTCAAAAAAATAAAATTTTTATTTTTGAAAAATCAATTTTTTAAAACTAAATAATCCATTGAATCATTAAAATATGTTGGATGGATTTGATCAGTCCATGCATATAAATAGATGAATTTAGTTCAATCAATTAATTTACTTTTTATGTGACGGATGAATTTGATAGATTTTTTTATGAATGAATTAGATGAATTTTATCTTAATAGATTCAATTGTCAGCCTTAGAAGAGACCACAGTATGTTGACCGTCTGCACTACTAGGAGAGAGTTGATGTTGATTTGTAAGAGTTTCTAAGATATTGGTCATCTTTTCTGAAGAAATTTTCAGCTACCCTTCAACTAATCCCTTACTCGATCCGTCTCGCCATTCTCTCCGACCACTCATTCGAGCTAGCCACCCTCCCCCCACCTACCTTAACTTCTCACTACAACCTTCAACAACAACTTCTACACCAACAATTCATTCTGGTGACTTCATACAACGACCATCGTTCATCCCTTTGAACACACAACAATAAAACAATCATATCCACCACCTTAAAACCATCCAAACCTCCACCGTAAGCACCATGAAACACACGTTATATCTTCCTCCTCAGTGTAACTGCCACCATACAACGAGTGCATCAACCATAGTGTTTTCGGCCACTGTGACAACACCTCACCCTCGTCGTTGCCGTCCGCTTTACACCATCACTGTCGTTTTCACGTTTCCAATTGATATCCTCCTACTCTTCCTTATTATACCATCAATTTGTGATTTTTCTTTTAGAGTTTGTATGAATTTGAACTTGGTATGAATTTAATCCATGGTAAATATTGTATATAGTTTATTGAGTTGCTGAATTTTTTATTGCGTTGCAAAGTCGACTTTGTAATATCATTTTGCACGGCTTATTGTAGAGTGATTTCTACATGAATCCATCTTAAATTAACTTAGAGCTAATTTCAGCACTCTAGACTTCAGTTTGTTTCTGGTCGATTGACTTTCTCTTGGTTCTTCTTACAATGAGCTCTTTGTTGTTTACATTTGTTTATTTAATAGGCTTGTATTTTAATCGCTTGATTATATCTTCATTTGACAAAATGTACTCTCATTCATATGACATGTAATAATTTTATTATTTTCCTTTATTTGGTTTTTATTGCATTAGTTAATTGTTAATTCAAAATTAGCGTAAAATAAACTATTTTTTTAATTAAAAAGAACAAATATAATGTTTGATCCAACGTCAAACCCCTTTTAACCAAATAAAGACCAAACCATTTCCACTATCCCAACTTCTCAAACATTTCACCCTCATACCATTTCCAAACCCTCAAACCATTTTTCCATACTAAACGATAATCAAATGCTTGATCCAACGTCAAGCCATTTTTCCAAATCAAAAATAAAAAACATTTAATTCTTACTAAACATTTTTCAATAAATATGGAAAAGGAACGAGGTGGATACCATGAGCTCTAGAGCCTAGAATACGAGATGGATATCTTGCCCATCCGAGCTCTCGCCATCACCCAAAACTTTCAATTTGACTTTCGCAAAAATTTTCTCAATCAAAAACCTCAAAACATCTAAAAATATCAAACCCTTTTGCAAATAAGATCGAAAAGGAACATTGTGAGTACCACGAGCTCTAGAGGCTAGAATACGAGATGGATATCTCGCCCATCTAAACTCTCACCATCACTCATAATACATCAAACCAATCAAACTCTTTTCTCGCTGCCATGCGGTTTTCAAACCCTTTTTATAAACGAAAGGCATTTTGTCTCGAGATGATGCAAGACAACGCTTCATTCACTTATATGTATGAGTAAGCTAGCGACGTTTTCCTGTGAATTTTTATATGTTTATCCATTCGATCGGACGCGAGATTTCCCTTCTCCACTTGTTTTTGGTAGCAAGCAATGTTTTTTCCGTCGATTGAAAAAAAATAGTTTTCTCTAAAATTGACCAACAAATGAACATTTTCTACGCAAAACTACATAGCCTTGAGTTTTCCATCGCAGTCGGAGATACGTAGGAGCGAGATTCAAAGTCTCGTCAGTCACCTTAATAAAAAATAAACATTTTTGTCCTATTCTTTTTTCTTTTTAATAACTCGAGAAGCCTAACATTTCTAAGCTAACATTAATGCTCACAACAAACTAAATGGTTCCCGTATAGTACAACAGGTGAGCGAGGTGCTAATACCTTCCCCTTGCGTAATCAACTCCCGAACTCTGATTTGGTTGCAAAGACCATATCATTGTCGTTATTTTAGAGGTTTTATTGATGTTTTTCCTTTCCCTCTTTAACAATAAATAAAGTTCAGTGTCGACTTTGTTCAGTAAATCCGCGAGTGTGCAATTGCGCTTTGCAAGCGTCATGTTCTCTTTTTACTGAGGTACGACAATCTCGATAGAATTGTGACATAACTTTATTTGTTTTTTTAGCTGAGTTAGTTAGGTTAGTTAGAGATTGCTTAGTGAGCAAGAAACCTCAGCCTATAAATAACGAGGAATCCTATCATTAATGTAATGCAATTGCATAAGAGAAAAGTTGGATAAATTTCAGTTTGAAAGCAGAGAGAAACTCTGCAGAATTATTATTTTTCTCTTAAACCCTAATTTTCTTCTTCTCCAATTCACTTTTCTTTTCTTCTTCAATAATCATCATGCAGCAAAATCATCTTGCAATCAAGGTTGAGTGTAACACTTGAATGAAGAGTGAATAAAAATATGAGTAATCAATTAGAAAGATTGATTCTTGTTCATCAAGATTGATTCAGAATTCTACATAGGCTTTGTGTAATTTCTAACATCTGGTATCTAGAGCACTGGCTGTGTGATTCTTGGGAAGCATAGCACAATAAATCATTCGAACTATCATTTTTCAACGAGTCTCCTAATTCTGAAGAATTAAAATTACGAGAGTTAGTGCAAGCATATAAAGATTCTTTTTTTGTTATCAAGATCTTTGGTATCTTGTGAAGGAAAGTGTAAAACCGCTTACAGAAAATGCGACGGATGAAGAAAAGGCTGCGTATAAAGAATTGAAGAAGAAATATTATAAAGTTCTCTTTATAATTCATTAATATGTTGATCCAGACAATTTTGAAAAGTCGAGTGATGTTGAATCAACAAAAGAAGCATGCAAAATTTTGGAGAAATTGTCCGGAGGCGTTTAAAAGGTGAAAGAAGTGAGGTTAGAAACTCACAAAAGAACATATGAATTTATTCGGATGGAAGAAAATGAAAGCATAACTGATTTTTTCACTAGGGTTACAAAACTGGTGAATCAAACCAAGGTATGTGGAGAATGTAGACATCAATATCGGTTGTTTCAAAGATCTTGAGGTTATTGGCTCCAAAGTTTGATCACGTGGTAGTAGTCATAGAAAAGTCAAAATATTTGTCAACATTGACAAAGGAAGAGCTTCAAAGGACACTTGAATCTCATGAAAAAAGAATGGTTGAAAGAATTGCAAGCAAGTCAAAAAATGATGTGACTTTGCTGGCGCAATCTGCAAGAGAAAAGAAGGGAAAAGGAAAACGGTTCGAAAACAAAGGTAGAAGAGGCTCCAACATTTCAACTGGTAGAGGAAACCAACAAGAAGGAAATTTGTCGAATCAAAGAAGACCCTCAGTGGTTGCCTGCTTCATTAAGAGAGAGATCATATGTCGGTACGACATTCCCGACCAAATTATCACCG